CCGCCGCCGGCGCCTTGTGTCTCCGCGGGGAGAAGCAGAACCCCCCGAGAGGCGGCTTTTAGAGAGCGCGTGGCCCTGGGGTAACATGCGGCGGGTGCCCAGGTCTGCAGGTGTCCTGTGGGTTCATGAGGAAAGCAGTTTGCAGGAAATATTAGTTGCTTCAGGAAAAGGCATGGTATGGACGGCAGGTGTTATTGATGGGCTTGTAGGGTAGTGCAAGCCTTGAGCAAGGGGCTGTTGGTCTGTGCAAACAGGGGCACTGGGTCTCGGATGATGGGCGCCTGCCATCGCAGGGTGTTACGGCAAGACGCGCCGCTGTTGGAGCCGCTGTAGCCGGCGGAGACCAGCGTTGGGAATGTGCTGCTGAAGGGTTTTCCTTTGGAGTGCAGGAAACCTGCTGGCCGCCCGGCTGTGAGCAGCAGCCTCAGCTCGGGTCCATTCTGCCTCCCCGCAACGCTATGCGGTGAGGACTGAGGTGCGCAAAGAGGCTGTGAAGCCTTGAAACCAGCACAGGCAAATGGGACCTACTTGCACCTCCGTGCTGGTTCTGCTGCCTCTGATGCTGGTGTTTTTATTTGTGCCGTCTGGTTATTCCCTTTCCTGCAAGAACTAGCTGGGGTACCATATAGAAAAGCTGAGGACTTTGAGAAAAATGGGGTGAAGGGAAAGAAAGGTCAAAATGAATCCATTTTACATATGTTGTAGCAGTAGAAGAAATTGTGTTGTGTTCTTCCAGAGTCCACATAAAAACCTGTTGCAATCAGTGTGACTGCAGCAGGGCTGTGTAGAGCTGGAGAAGTTTCACTATCCAAATACTGGTGATTGCTGCCGCAGGTTTTCATAGCAGAAGGCTCAGTCCAGCAGTGTCCTACCTGGGGGTGAGGTCCCTGCAGCAGGTCTACTTAGCCATAAGGGGTATTTTATTAGGAAAGCAGACTGGGATTTATGGTGGCTGGCAAGCTGTCGGTGGGTGGACTTGGGCAGCAAGCTAATTTTGCCTGAGTTTCGCTTTCGAGATGCAGGGTGTCTCCTTCGCTGCTGCGGGCAGCACCCTCCCTGTGCCCGCTGTGTGGGCTCGGCCCTTGTTTCCCTGGGAGAAGCAGCACTCAGAGCCCACCCGGCAGGTGATGACAGCAGGACTCGGTGCGGTGGATGGAGCGACGTTTCGGAAAGCGCTGCCTGCGCTTTGAACCGCCGCCGCTGTGAGCGAACGGCACAGTTCACATCCATCCCGTGCTCGAAGGCGATTTTAAAATGCTGTCAGCAAGGAAAAGGCTTCTCTGAGGTCAAGTAGAGCCGTGCAGCTGAATCGCTGTTGGGTTTATTTATTTGTTAGCTCTGCATCGCGCTGCCTGTTAAAAGCAGCCGTGCGCGGCACTCAACCCGCCGCATGTGGAGCGGCAGCAGTGCCACAAGAGCCGATCGCGGCCGCTCGGCACTGGCCCTGCGGGAATGGAGCTGGGGGCTCCGCAGGGAGGATGGTGGCCCCGACGCAGTCGCTGCTGCTCGTGTGAGTGGAGGGGTCTGTGTCCAGCCGCGCCAAGATGCTGCGGTGCCGTGACAGCGCCTGGTTGGGTCTGTTTGGTGTTTGCGGCCATGTCACTAACGCGGCCCGTGACGGGCGAGCGAGCTCGGGGCTCTGCAACTGTTGGCCTTGCGCTCAGCTTATTGCATAATTACTGCCCGCGATCGGCGAGGCGACTAACAAGGTCTTTTAAGAATGAGTGGATTATATGGTAAATTGAAGGCTGCAGTCTTAAATTAATTGAAGATTGAAGTGTAGAAGTGTGTGAGTGGTTGGGGTTGAAGGAAGTGCCGCTGCTGCGGCAAGGAGACGGGCGCGGGAGGGTTTGTGCATGGCTGGTCGGATGTCCCTGCCCGTGCAGTTCCACGCTTTGGTGGCAGCTCTTCCTACTGCCCCGTCTCTCCTGAGTGGGGTCATTGAGGCAATCGCTGCCTCTCGGAGAGAGTGATAGGGCTCAAGGGAAGGTGCAGGGCCCGCGGTCACGGAGCTGAACAAGCTGCGATGGGGCTTGCGCCCGGCCCAGTGCCACCTCTGCTGGGCTGGGACTGGCTCTCCCGCACCGCTGCCATGCCCGTAACCTCCAGTGCTGGGCCAGGACAGGCGGCAGTGCCCTGGGAGAGGGGCTGTGCAGGCGGGAGCGCTGCTGCTGCGTCCAGCGCTCCCTCCCCGCGGGTTTCCCGTCCGAAGCCGGTGCCCTGCGCGGCTCCGTTAGCAATTCCTTGCCTGGGGCCGCAGCTCTTCCCGCAGCACGGCTGAAGCGATCGCTTCATTTTGTGGCAGTTTGAGCGCCCTGTCCCAAGGTGGCCGCTGTGGCACGAGACCCCGTGACCGCTGGGACAGACAAGCGTGTTCGGAGCGCGTCGTGTTCAGTTGCCAGCGCTCGGCTCCCCTTTGCTAGCGGGTGGCGGGGCTGCTTTCCTGCAGTTTCGGTTTGCAGAGCGCAGCTCGCTCCTGCAGTCTGAGCAGGTCACTGGGCTACCAGGTTGGCCAGCAGCACCCACTTGCTCTGGACATATTTGTCGACGTTCCTACGTGTGTTCAGGGCCATTGTGGTGGCCGTGCCCTGCCTGTGATGACAGTAGCGTGGCTTTTGTGCCATGCCTTGCAGTCTGGGGTAGGAAGTCGCAGCAGAACTAGGTCTGTGAGCGTTCTGTCCTTGAAGAGGATGAGGGGAGGAAAGAAGCCCCCTTGTGAGCTTTGCGGTGGGGCCGCGTAGCAGGAGGCAGCGGGTTGGGCCTGGCGTCCCTGGGCGAGTGCCAGCAGAGCGTGGGGCCATGCGGGCTGCGCCCTGTGGTGGCACTGAAGGGCCCGCGGCGCCGCCAGCCCTGGGAAGGACGACAGCCATGGATGTGAGGAGCGAGAGGCTTTGTCCTGCGCTGCAGCCCTGTCTGTCCCTGCGCCCTCCGGATTAGTGCGGTTGGGTGGATGAGCGGTGCTGCTGACCAGGGGAATATTCCTGGGGTTTGGTGTCTCCAAGGTGCAGGGTTTTGAGCGTGCTGGGCAATATTGGTGCAGGGAGAGGCTTTGAGGAGGTGACGGATTTTTTTCTGTTTTGCAAATGGTGCTTCTGTATTTCAAGACATTGACGATGGCAGGTGGGGCTACAGGGATTGGCACTGGGAGTCGGGGCGAGACAGGCAGGGGGATAAACCTCGCTACCGGTGTCTGCAGGAGCAGTGAGCTCGTCCCTCCAGGAGGGGACAGCTGGGGCCGCAGTGGGAGCCGGGCCGGTCCCCCTGTGCATCCCCCTGCGTTGCTCTGTACCGGGAGCCTCGCGGGGCGGCTCGCATGGGCGCCACTGTCCTCACATCCCGCTGTGCCCGCTGGGGCGGCCCCGTTTCATGGATCCGTAGGAGTGTGCTGGGGAGCCCTGTGCTCTGCTTCCCGCTTCGTGGCTCTTCCAAGGGGCCTTACGAGGGCGGCAGTGGCTGCTGTCTTTCCGAAGACGATGCTTTCATCTTTTCCTGCCCTTTCCTCCCAGCCTTCCAGCCATTCGACTGTTGGATCCCCTAGCCGCGCTCGCCTCTCTGCTGGGACGGAA